TGTTTGTTTGTTTTTTAAAAAGCTAAAGCGGATAGAGAGAAATACTGTTAACTGATGGTACATGGAGGGGATTATAATCATTGTAATGAAACAAGGTATATGATTTGTTGAATATAAAACTGATGATATGCCCTGTAAACTTTCACTCAATCCACAATAAAAACCTTAAATAAATAAAAAAAAAGAATGGTTGAAGACACTGGGAATGTGTATTTTAGAGAAGAGAAGGTTTATAATAATTAAATACTTCCTTTAGGAGGGTGCTTATTGGATGAGGTTAGACAGTGTAGACAGAAATCAGAGTCAGGACCTCTTTTTAATGCCACATGAGGAACACATTTCTAATAATTAAGTCATCCTACATTGAAACATGGTCCCTTAAAAGGAGCAAGTTTCCCATCCCTAGTGATGTTTGTTCTATACTGAATGGTCATCAAATGAGTATGCAGTGACAAGAAACTTGCATTTGTTGGGGTAAGAGGAAATGATGAGGATGGATTCGCTTACTTTCCCAAGTCCCTTCCAATTCTAACATGACTCTATATAATGCTTTCTTTCTTAATCAGTGTCTTCAGGTAGTAAAATATGACAACGAATTGGTGGCAGCAGCAGAGGAGGGTACTGCAAGGAGTTTGGGAGGGTGGGCAGTGCACAGAAAGCTTGGAAAACAGGAAATATTGGGGCAGCTTCCTTCTAGAGGATGTCAGTACTGGAAGTGCTTGGAAGGAACTCTGACCCCATGTCCTGGGATTCTTCCTTCTTGAAAGCAACTTCTGAAAGTGTCTTCATCCTCTAGTGCTGCCATACAGAAATAGCACAAGTGGGTGGATTTAACAAACTAAGAATGCATCCACATGGTATCAGTTTTTCTCCATTTGTGCTTCCTTGTTCTGTCTCTAAACTGCTTCTTTTATATTTCAAAAATGATTCACCCTACACCGATAATGACCTCATTAACATAACAAAGAAAACCCTCTCCTCAGGTGGGATTATATGCACCAAGGGTTAGGATTCACAACATATATTTGATATATTTGGAGGGGGGACACAATTTAATCCATAACACTAGGCAATGAATGAACTCAGAGAAAAAGAGACTGCAATAATAGAATCAGAGTCAGAAAAAGCCTTATTCCTCAAGATATTGAAACCCAAGAAGGATACATCTATCATGGAGGGTTTAAACAAGTTGTATAGGAGGCAAAAAAAAGGAAGATAACTGGAAAAACCTTGTGGGAATCATGTCTGACTTCCCCTGGCTTCACAAGGGGGAAAGAGATTCAAACTCAAAATCAGCCCAAGGCTGATTCCTATGAATCAGAGGTCAGACACCCTACAACTCTACATTCTTTAGCCCTACAATCTTCTTTATCCTATTTTGACACCAACCATCTCTCCTACAACATTCTCTGCTTCACATCTGGGTCCAATAATCCTTTGCAATGGCCACACAGAACTCATAACAATACTCATTATTATGGGGTTTATTAGGGAAGTGAACAAGGCACAATTCAGGATCAAAACCAACACAGGCTGTACTAGTTTTCCAATCAGGAATGCCTCTTGTCTGTCGTACTGGGGACATGCTGCACTCTTGTCTTTGGCTTCTCAGCCACGTGGCCCTATGGCCTCTGCCTCAGTCCTTGGGCTTAGAACCTGAAGCTGCACTGTCTCTCCATGCCACTGCCTCTGCCGTCTCTTCCTCCTGCCATTGCCTCTTGCTATTACCATTTTTCTATGTAGGGATCTCATGCTCTTCCTTCTTGGTGGCTCTGTGATTGTCTGTTGCTGCTTCTGAGATGACTCCTTTTAAATCTAGCTGGGTGACAAAACTAATCAATCCAGCCTTAGGGTCCTATACACCTTATTTGCATGGTCCCACTCATCACTTGATGAAAATTAAGAAGACATTGGATAGAAAAGTCATGTCAAGTAAATTCAAGGTACCACAATGACTATGAGGTAGGATCATACAAGATGACTACTCACCAACGACCCCTTGGAAATCCTATATGGGGTCTCTTTAAGTAGGAAGCAACTCAATGGCACTTAACAACAACAACCACAGGGGTAAAAGCCCAGAGAATGGCATTATTTGGCTAGAAGGGGAAAGTGGCGACAGGGGCAGAGGTGCCTCTGTGTACAGCCATGTCTTTACAACATTGTGGACTAAGACAGAAAATGCCCTCTGCTGTTTATGGCACCAGCTCCAGGTGCCAGACAGAACTCTGCAGGAAAAAGAACCAAGAGGGGAAATTTGTCCCAAAAGGAAGTTCTTAAATGAAGGAATCCTCAGACAGGGACCAAGTTGAAGGAAGGGGGATGCGGGAATCTGTAAGAGTGGTAGCCTTGTGCCATCAGGAAAACACTGAACATGCGTAAGGAAACCAGTGCTCAAGTCCTTACTCTGCCACTGTTGAGCTGTGGGCTCCTGGACTCAGGTTTCCCCTGTATAAAAATCAGGAGTTGGACTTCATGATTTCTATAGTTCCTCTAGCTGGATAGTTCCTGAAGTGATTCACAATCTATGTGCCAACCAAGTTCATTGGTAACTAGGACAGCATTATTTTTGAGTCAGAAAATGATTCTGTGACTCTGTTTATGTTTTGTGCTCTCCTTGAGTAATGCCATCTTTGTCTTCCAAAGTGACATTAGTGTCATTCTCTTTGCAAAATCCAACCTGTCTTTTCTGAACTTGAACTAGAAAGGGAAGGGACTTTGTGTCTGTATGGACTAAAGTAGGGTGACCAACCACCCATGGTTTGACTAGGGCTGAGGGGTATCCAGGACAAAGGACTTTAAGTTTTCAAACTGGGTCTGTTTCTGTCAGACTAGAATGGTTTGGTCACCCTTGTTGTTGTTGTTAGGTGCCGTCAAGTCAGTTCCAACTCATAGCAACCCTGTATAGGTTTTCAGAGAAGTAGCAAGAAAGATGTAGTTCTAAAGGTGACTCAGATGTGAGGTCCCTGGAAGGGCTTTTCCCCTATTCCCTTTCCACCTGGAGTTCCCCCCCACCCCATGACCCTGCTGACTCTTGTGGTGATTTTCTGTTACAAGTTGTGAGTCCTTTATTGGAAAGCTGAGATGGGAACTGGGGGAGGGAGAAGAGAGAGCAAGGAAGAAAAGTAAGGGTCAGCCTTTAAACTAGTCACAAGCACCACTTGATACAATTGTTGCCAAGAAAGAAGATGAAATGCTTGATTAGCACTGATGCTGTGGGGATTTTCCCTTTTTCTACAAAAAACAGAAAAGACACAGTGGAAAAAAAAAATTGATGAGTTGTGAGGCAGACAGCGGCCTTGCGCCTCCCCTGGAGACAAGGCGCCGGCTCATTTGTTTAAGTTTGCAGCTGGAGGCTGCCACCTCTCTTTAGGCAGCAGCTGGAGAGCCTCTCAATATCAGACAGTGGCCTGTCTGTTGATGTACAGCCACAGCCATGAACTACCCTCTAACCATGGACATAGAATTCATGAAGTACAACTTGGAAGAGCTGGTGAGTACAGACAGGCAGCTCCCGCTTACCCAGACCCTGTTGGTGTTCTAAATACCTTGTGCCCAGGGTCCAAGGGAGAGGGAACAGCCTTGGCATCCCCATTTCTTGTGGATTTGTAGAGTCTAGATAGGCCCATTGTTGTGGTTGTTGTTAAGTATCATCGAGTCGGTTCCAACTCATAACAACCCTGTATAGGGTTTCCAAGGAGCAGCTGGTGAGTTTGAACTGCTGACCTTGTAAGTTCAAACTGATTTTGAGATCGAGTGCTTATCCTGAGGCACCACATCAGGTACCTGCCTTTTAGAACCTTATTTCCCACTCCATGAAGGAAGCAGAAGAATTATTGTCCCTAATAGACATTCTTTAGAGGGGGATTGGAAGATATGGTTTTGGTCCTGTATCCTTCACTAACTTGCTGTGTGACCAGAAACAAGTTACTTTATCTCTGCATTCTTCAGTCAGAGGTCCTTTCCTTATCACTTAGGGTTGGAATAAGGGACTAGACAAGAAAGTACTTTAGAGGTTTTCTTAAACTCAAGAGGTTACCATTGATAATAGATCAATCAATACAAATTACATTCTTTGTTATATGGAAAAGGGGGACTTGCCTTCAAATAGCTCACAGTCTAGCCAAGAAAGAGAAAATATCATCACTAGAAGCTACAGAGGGACTTCCAAAAATTCGTGGAAAAATTCCATTATCTTTCCATTCCATTTTCCCACAAACTTTTAAAACTCCCCTCATATTAAACAATGGCTCTGCGCTAAATTGAGGAATTGTGAAACCATGTGGACAGCAAAAGGAGAAAGACTCTAGAAGGCTGGAGTCAGGAGGCAGGTGCCAGGTTGGTGAGATAACCTCTGATTCTATTAATTCTAAAAATGTCCAAAAGCATGGTGTCCTCCCTCCAAGGGTAGAAATCTGTGGAGATAAGGTCTTCTTGGAGGGGTTTGCTTGGGTAGTCTAAGAAGATGATCCCCAGCACTACTCTCTAGTGACCTCCCAAGTTTCTCCAGTAAAACAGAGCAGTTAGGTTGGCTTGGTTGTCACCAGACTCCTAACTAATGTGTGTGAGGTACAGCTCAACCGGAGACCCTCACCCCCACCCCCACCCCCACCCCCACCCCCAGAGATTCCTTGACTGCAGGCAGTAGAGAATCAGTTGTAAGAGTCTTGGAAACTTCTTCACAGACTTTTCTCCCTTTCCCCATGGCCAAGATCATTTCTGGAAAAAGCACATCTCTCTGAGTTGTATCCTGGGATACACCATGAAGGACCTACCACTGTCTTTTCTCCTGTATCCATCAGCTGTCCTGATCCTAAAGTCACCTTGAGATATTTCTGATCCCTCCAACTCTAACTCCACCACGTGTATTCCCAAAATTGCTTGGGAAAGACTGTCTTTCACTTGCTTGGAAGTAAAAGTAAATCATGGGGAGAAGGTGAGAAGTACCAATTACCCTTCAGTCTGGTCTCTCAAATCCAGACCCCAGTTAAAGTAGAGTCAGAACCATGAGTCTAATCAGAACTGACTACGTAATTTGAGAGAACCAATGCAAACCAAAAATCTCAGGGGCCCTTCCTTATTCAAGAATTATTAAGAATTTCAAGACTGCAGTAGCAGAGAACTAAAACCCATGGGACCCTTCTAAGCCCCAGTCTCTGTGTGACTGCAAAAGTTTCACACCTGTGAAGCCAGCCTTGTGTCTAATTACAGAGTCTGGTCAATATCCCACATCAGACTGAAACCCCACTGCCCCTACAAAGCAGCATGCCCCAGCCTGGCCCCCAAGTCTTGGCCCCTAGCCTCACCCAAATAGGTTACTGGGTGTCTTCCTGTGTCCACAGCTTCGAATTGAACATGAGCCCTGACCCAGTTGTATATCACAGTAACTAGCTCGAGACCTAGACAGTCCTAGCTTCAGTGAAATTTCAAGGTTTCCTCTAACTGCAGAGCTCACTCCACTACATGACCTACTGGGGACCAATGGTGGCAGGGGACAGGGAGCAGGGGGACTGAAAGCAAGACACAGCCCATGTCACAAAGAAAATCTACAGCTCAGGGAAAAGGCCCTGGGGAAGTGCTTCATGTCCTACCTCAAATTCATGGTCCTTAGCCAGGCATCCAAGCATGCCAGGACCTTTCGATTAGGGTCTAGCCAGGAACCCAGGACTCCTGGAGCCACATATTCTCTGGGGCTCTTCTCCTGGCTGTTGCTCCTCAGAAGCACAGATTCTTTCCTCCCACCCAACCCCAATCACAGCAAAGTCTTCAGCAGTTTGTTGGGCTCCCCCATAGGCTTCACAGCACCGAGGCCCGAGATGGTCTAGCTCATGAATGGCAAAGTAGGCAGAAGAGTTTTGCACATAGTAACTTCTCAGTGTTTAGTGACTTGTATTACCGTAAAGGCCTTAGCTCACCATCTTTCTCTGAAGTTATTGTAGCTTCTTCTACTCCTTTTGCTTTCTGTTCCCCTCTCTGCCCTCATTCAAAATAAGCACTGATTCATTTTCCTAGAGCCCTGGGACCTACACCCCAACGTTGAGTTATAAACTGGGAGCTCTTGGCCATAAGTCAAGTGCTGGCCAACCTGTCACACCTTCCTTCTCTAAGATCAACTCTAGTTGCTTAAAATGTCCATTCTCCAAACACAATAGAGGCTCCAAAGACAAGAAAATCTTGTACCAGAATAAGAAAGAACCAGGTCCCTGGGGTGGGCATGCCAAGGATCCATGCTGCTGAGAGGGCAGATCTAGGCAGACCTAGGGAGTCCTTGTCTACAGGAGCCTTGAGCTGAGAGTATGGAGCTCTTCCTAACAGAACCTGGCTGAGGGCTTGAAGAAGCCAGTCAATGCTCTATCCCTCTAGCCCCACCCTATATACCAGACAAGAGGGAAAGCTGTTACAGAGCAGGAAGGACCAAGGCCTTGCTGGATGGTCAAAACCTCAGAATACTCTGGCATCCCCCTGACCTCTACCCAGTGATGATCACCACAAACCACAACCTAAGTGTGTCCAGAGCATCACAGTTGCAATGCCTGTTCACATGCACTAGCTCATTTCATCAAAGAGGTGTGAAAAAGAGGAACCAAAACCAGTTCAGGCTGGCTCTGGGCTTTACCTTGGGGGTTGGGAGAATCCCCTCTACCACCACTAGATCAAAAGTCCCAGAAGAACCCCAGTGGAGGAGACCCTGAGTGTAGGAGGCTTGGAGGGGTTAGACATAAGGGAAGGGTTCAGGGCCAGCCTGGGGAGGGAGTCACTGTGGGACAAATCTGAATCCCCATTGGAACTCTTATCTTTTTTTTGAGGATGTACATTGTGGCTAATCCCACTTCTCTGGCAGAATAACATAAAAGTAACCATGAATTTGGAACTGAAAATCAAGACACATGAGTATTCTTTCAGAAATGATGGAACATAATACTGAATTCAGTATTACTCCAAGAAATTGACTTCAAGTGGTTGCTGTATATAGCTCCAAGGCATGTCTACTGTGAGACTCTGTCCTTAAAGTGCAAATCGATTTTAGAGTGCCGCATGGGGAGCCCTTTAAACCTAAAGATTCAGTGTAGATCTGGGGTAGCTTAAAGTCTCCCCACACAATGACATCCAGAATAGTACTATGATCCTATTGGCCAAAACCCCCTAAATAGAGATGGTAGAGGAGTCTGGAAGATTTACAACTGGGAATGGTGGACAGGGGAAGGGTTGTTAAGTAGCAAGTGAGAGTCTCAGATGATCTTTAGGGAGTATTTATCTCTTACCCCAATCTCCTTACCTGTAAGGGAAAGTGGGGTAAGAGGTACAGATCTATACCTTTCCCCTTTGGCCAGTCTTATCCTTTCAGACCCTCACAAACTCAGACTACTAAAAGCTGGAATGAGGGACACCTTGAACTGCTCCACTCTCAGCTCCTGACTTGGCTGGAAATAGCCAGACAGGGACATAAAAGGAGATGGATCTTGCGTGCCCTCCCATCACTAGAGTTATGACCTGCATCTATGTGCAGATGCCTCCTGCAGCCAACAACACTCAAGTCCCTGGAGTCCTGGGTTTTGGCCTGGTTGAGCTATACTCTCAGCAAGTAGCCCTGCTCACTCCTTGGGCTGGAGCATTCACTGGCTGCAGGACTGACTAGAGAAGTAATCAGCATCTGGGTGCTGACCTACAGGAAGATCATGTCATCCTGAGAACCAGCTCAGCTCTTGGCAAGACATGCCAGAGAACCAGAATCTAAGAGGCTGTGAGCAAGAGGCATTTGAGAGCAGGGATCTCTTCCCCACATACCTAGGCTCAGATATTCCCCTTCCTCCCAAGGTCCTAGTCCCATTGTTGGACAGATCTGCTTGTTAGAAAGCCCTTTCCTTTGACTAGAACACTCCCCCAACACCCAGATTGCACCCACTCCTCCTAATCTACCCTCTATAAATTCATATGTTAAGTCCATTCTCTGCCATCTTGCCCCAGAGGACTCGTTCCAATCTTTGAAGGCAGCTTTCATCAACTCAGTCTTCTTCTCTTCCTGAGGCTCTATATTTCCAATATCTGAAAACTTCCTCCCAGAGTGGGGTTTTCCCTTAGCAAACTGGTCGTTTTTACCCAGACCATCTAAGTTAGACTGGCGCCCAGTTGCACACCTACAGGTTTCTGTTCACCTAGCGTGAAGTAGCATTAGTACTTCTGACACCCACATTACCCTGTTGACATTATCTTAAACTTGCAGTCAACAAACTCCTGGGTCTTCCTTTCATGAACTGTTGTTAAGCCAGATCTTCCCTTTGCCCCTGGACAGCCAATGTTTGAAACTGGAGTCTGGGTCTCTATATTTTCCCATGTAGTTTTATTGGGTTAGTTTGGTCCCATAGTTCCAACCTACAGAGAAACCTGCATTGTCTGAAAGTGTGCTCAGACCTCACCCACATCCTCAGTCAAGACACGGCTGTGAGTGCAAAGAGGAGGGGATTCAGACAAATCCTTGCAGAATGCCCTAGAGAC